TGGCGGAGCGCCGCTCGCATGCCCAATCGGATTATCGTCGGACAATCGCTATCAACAAAACGGCATTGTTGCCTGGGGCATTGGATGCAATGATGAGGTGCCCGCTGCCTACGCGAATGTCGCATTAGCTCGTGATTGGATTGATCAGCAAATGCTGGGCAATGGCTTTGATACATCTTCATATACAGCCTAACTGCCTAAAGATCTGATATCTCATTCGAATTAAAGATATAATATACATATATGTACGTATATAGACTTGTGGGTGAAACAAATGGAGGTTAATGAAAAGGAACTGTTTGAGCGAATTTTCCTGTTGACCTGAATAGATTGTAAAATGACTCAGCCAACAACAACAGCAACTACAACAACTACAACAACCACTAGTGAAAGCAAAGAAACCCGAAGCGAATTCTAGTTTCTAAAGCTGAACCTCAAAGTATTTGGTTTGAGCTGGAAACTGAAGCAAACGGCAAGGTTCTTGGGTCTTTTGTTGAATGCAACCACAAACTTTGGCAGACAAAGCATTTGGCTTTAATTAAAAACTCCGGGGACAGCAAATTAAGTTAAAGATGCAAAGAAATGCGTCCTTAGAGCGAAATGGTGTCAAAATTCTTCTCACTTCAAACAAGTCCACAAAGTGTTGCAATTATATTTGTCATGCATGCACAGCATCTGCGGGTAGCCAGCACATACGCACACTCACGCACATATGCACATAGTCTCTTACACACACTTACACACACGTTTGTATCTAAAGCAAAAAGCAGCATAGAGCCGGAGATGGTTGAAATGGTGACACTGGCAACGCCTGCACCTGCGTTTGAATTGCTGCATCCATCCAGCTGCCTGCTGCAGTTGGCGCTGCTGCGGCAGCTGGTGGCACGAAGCCAACGCCAAGCCAAGCCAAGCTAGACCAGACCAGACCAGACCAGGCTACGACTAGTCTCATTTCAGTTGTGGACGCCCGCCCGCGCCCGCCCGACCACGCTGCTCGTTAAGCGTGGCACTGTGCGAAGTATAAGGTGACTGAGTCGCTGTAACTGTAACATAACATGTGCTTAACCCAAAAGCAGACGCACCCTATCACCCTAAACACGCCAGCTGGCCGACTGCCACCCCCCCTGCAGCCCCACCAACGACATGTTACAGCCTAATTGCAGTTTTTCAAATGTTGCAGTTGCTTCCGAAAAAATTAGGGTCATGGAATTTTAAAGGCGCCTTTGCCATCGGAGTAGCAAGGGCTTAAAGGGGCATGAGCGCGCATCGGCCGTGGTTGGCCTGTGTAGCGGATGCGAACTGCCAGCCAGCCAACATATTTTATGCTATGGGAATGTCCGCTCCAGGGAAGTGCTTGAGCGTTAGTTTAAATGAAATACCCATTATCACAGCAGAGCATGCA